GTAGAGAATATGCATTTGTGTCTCTCTCTTTTAAAATAGGACTATTTTTATATAGATCTAAACCTACATATGTTGTTTTTTTTTTTTTCATCCCTGTTGTATTTTGAAGAATTAGAGCTGGTTTCTCAGAAGGATTTTCCAAGTTGGCCCACACTTTATTTTTTACCCCCAGAATCACTTAAAGTAAATTTTTCTTCTCCCTTCAGGGAGAGATCAAGCTTGTTAATGTATGAAAAAATGCTGGAAAATACTGGACATCCAGATGCCTTTAGTAAATGTAATTCCTCAGACTTGCTGTAGAAGATGTTGGCAAATTAAATCCCTCAGCTGAGAGGGTATGTGCTCCAATTCTAACTCCCATCCAAAAATCTAGCTTTTATGAGAACTATCATATTCAGAACTCGACATATTCTTTTTCCAAGCTTTTCTAAAATACTACTGTTTCCTGACAGCTGCTGACAGATGGCAAAACTTCTTTTTACCTCAGAAAAGCTATTTAATTTCATCTCCATAATGACAAAGTTTCTGGTAGTCAGTTGTCTGTGCTCCTACTTCAATTCTGAAACCACTCCAAACTAATATGAGTACACAATAATAAAAAACCAAAACCGTTCAGCAGTAATATGCTTTTGTCAGTCTCTTGTTAAGACTCAGTTGGCTAGGGCCGAACCTATCGATCCTCAGTTTATGCACTATGTCCATGAGCAATTCCTGAGTAAAGATTATGGGACAAGATATGGAGACCTATGTGCTACCATGAATTTTTTGTAGGAGTGTGCCTTTACCTGTATCAAGGCCCACTGGAGTCAGCATGACTGAGCCCAGCTTGAAGCCTGTCTGTGCTGGGCTTATCGTGGGGCTGTGGCACTGATGGGATATAGGGTGAAAGCTGCAGTAAGGACCAGGCACCTTAACAGATTCCTTGTTTAGTTGATTCTTTACATGTATCTTGAAATTTCCTAGCAGAATTTTTTTTTTCACTTTCCTAAAAGCTACCACTACTCTGCAAATGAGTTTTGCTTGTGCTTTGGGTAGTCACCTAAAACAGATTTCACTGTGTAAATTTGTGTGCATGTACATAAGCTGTCTTCAGCTCTCACACAGGCAGGTATCTTCTGTGCAGAGAGGCAGTGCCTTCAAAAAGGAAATTCATTATCGTAACAAATACAGAGAGAGCACAAGAAAATGTCCTTGTCCCTCACTTTTTAATAGAAAAGTATAACTATATAAGCTGAGAGCCACAATATGTACCAGATGAAACCTGCCATCTCTGCTGTTTGAAATACAGCTCTCAGCTTTCTTCTTTAATCGTGTAGAATAGCATTAGTTTTAACTCTCAAGAAGAAATTTTTTTGTTTGGTTTGTAACTATTGTTCCACAAATTCTTTGGCAGCTGATGACTTGGTTTCATCATTTATAGAGCTAAAAGTTAATTCTAGAATTTCGTTGCTTTTGTTTTTAAATTATGGTGTGCAGAATGGCAACCTTCACCTGCTATATTAAAATAAATTTAAAAAAAAAAGAAAAAAGATACTGTCTCTTTAATGAAAGAAAAGCAATAATATACTGTATTACTGAATGCAAATGCAATAAAGAATAACATATAGCTCTGGTTATGTTATATGACATTTGGCTTAGCAGTATTAACATATTGCATAAAATCTGGATTTTCCCTATTGCAGAAAATAAGATGATAAAAGACATGGGAAATCTCTTTCTTCCATATGATCATAAAATAAATATTATTTTTTTCTTTTTCTTCTTATCAGTCATTTGCAGAAATATTTTAGTATTACTTCTTTGTTAAGCCAGCTCTTTATCATGTATGTATTAGGCATACAGTACAAGGAGAAATGGAACAAGATGGCAGTTATAGCAGTGGCAAGATGCAAATTTATTCTGGAAAAAAGTAATATGTGCACAATATCAAGCATGCTTAAGTTTGTGCCAGGAAAACTATTACGAATGAAGAATGGATGGAATGGACTTTTGCATCATACATGATTACATGTTGCTTAACTTCATAGAAGAGTCTTTGTCTACTCCTGATGTCCCAGGTGCCACCAAGAGAAGCTGCTTACCACACTGCTAGAGTGAAAATGGCAACAGATACCCCAGCAGAAGTCACCTCTGCAACATGACTCTTTGCTTCAGAAATTAAAGAAATAGACCTCAAAAAGATGACAGAAAATTCACAGACCATTGAACTGCAGGCACTAACTCCAGGTGGGGAGAGGGGGACAAATTTATTACATGTTGTACTTGAGTAATAATTGAAAGTCTGTAATTGTTTTCTGCTTCGTTTTCCCCAAGTTTAATTAGGCTACTTTATGCATGTGATGTCGTTGTCACGGTTTTTCCTCCTGTCTCTCTCATATTGTATGACACATGACTGAGTGTAACCAAGCAGTGGAGGAGTCATATTTTTCACTGACACCACTGGAAAACCATTTTATAGAAAAATAAGGGATGAAGGATGAAGAAGAGCAGGAGAGAAGAAATAAAATATCTTATAGATATATCTCTACATTAACTCACCATGAGGCAAAAGAGAAATAATAACTTTTCTTCATGTGTCAATTCAATCGAGATGAACCAGACTTGCTACTGTATTGGTACAGTGTAAAAACAGATGACAGTGAGTAATGGTGTGAACAAAAAAACCATGAGGAACATCACAGAAATGGATGTTGGATGGCCTTTGCACAGCAGAGGTAGATAAAGGTTATAACAAACTGTTTACTGACCATGTACACTTAGTAGAATTAAGAGGTCAGTTGAACAAGAGCTCACCTAGTAAGAGCTTTCTCAGTAGTGTGACTCATCAGCTTTTGTACAGTACCAGAGCACTGCCCAGTTATTGCTCCATCACTTTTCAGTAACATCTCTGTCCTTTCAAAAGTCTACATTCTACCATTAGTTAAGGCTTTTTCTTTTGCATTTCTACATTTTCCCCCAATTTTTTATCAGTTCACTACAAGTAATACATGTGCCTCTAAAATAAAAGAAAATAAATAAAAAGCACCATGTTTTATTGAACAAAATATAGCATGTGCAAGAAAGGGAAGAATTATAGAAACAAACCAGCGCTGAAGAATTTTGCATTAGCTGGTGCTTTTTGTTGTTGTCATATTTGCACAGATCATTTTAGGCTCCTCAGTCCGGGTTGTAGCAAAACACTATCAAAACAAACGCTCTTGCAAAATATTTGAGCTTTCGCAGCTTAACATGTGCATCTTGAACCGCTTAAGCAGCATGGTTATCTTCTTTTTTGTTTTTCTCCATAATTTAACAGACCATAAAGTGTATACAAAAACGCATTACGCACCAGTGATTAAATGTTCTTACAACATTAATATTTATGAAGGGGTATTTCATAGCTAGAAAGTAGGTAACTATATTTTATTTCCTAAGAGAACATTTTCTATAGTTTTCCTTCATTTCCCAGCTACACAGCAAACATCTCTAAAGTGCACTTCCCAAGTGTAGTTAGAGAATAGGAAGGAATGTAAAGTTTTTAAAAACAGCCCTTATTAACTTTTCCTTCCATTGATTCTACTGTAAACTCTAAAAAGCCTTTTTAAAAAGCAAATTCTCATACACTCAGCAGGTGAAATGTTCCCATGAAAATAAAAGTAAACAAATTTAAAACCACCGCAAACAATGAAAAATCAGCAATCATATTACAATCTTTTCTCTTGACTACTCGTATCCTAGTATATCTTTACTGGTTTTATTGCACATTTATGAAAATGGTTGTCCTATATATTAAAAAAAAATAGTTACTTTATCTGTGCTAACACATTCTTGTGCATCCTTAATAAACTAGAGTAACTTTCAATAACATGTAGATATTAGAAAAACAATGGAATCAAAACCAAAGAGATACTTTGTATTGCAGATGCTCAAAGACTTCTAGTGTAATTTTGTTGAGACAAAAAAAAAAGTGGATTTTGGAAGTTCTTAGCTCCATATGGAAAGCTGCTGGTTATGTGACAGCAGGAGAACTCAAAACATGATTCACAATGAATGTCATTCCTTTACCTCCAATATGAAGGTTTCCCAACTACTCAACTTGCTGAGCATAACTGGTTTTATGTAGCATATCTAAAAAAGGCTGCTCCTGTTCAACTGACCAGTGAGAAAGGACTGGACTTCTTCAAACGGGTATTGGAGCAACAGTTTGTTATATATTTCTTTACGTGTTTTAACTGTCCGATCCCACCTTGTAAGGAGAGCACTTGTTCATTCAGCTAAAAGGAACCCCCTTCATGCTCCTTTTGGGTTTGCTCAGTCAACTGTTTTGTGCAACAGTGGCAGAGGCACACTAGAATTGTGTACCCATTCATTGTGATTACACAGACAGAAGCAAATGTGTGTTGTCTGTGACGGGAGATGGGAAGGGGAAAGGAGATGAATGGTTCCCATGGGTAAGAGGACAGTAAGGTTTGTTTGGGTTTTTTTCATGG